CTAGTCAGTCCGGAATGATGACCAACACTTTTTCTTTGGTAGTTATATCTTTTATGATCGTATAAAACTTGCGTCAAATATCATATACTCACAACTCATGTATTCTACAATTTTATGCGGAAATTATTGAGTAACGATCCTTTTAATATTTGTTCTGACGATTTTGATAGTATAATTTATTCTTTTCTTTTGTAAACAACAAAGTCGTCGAACACATAAAGGTGCAGAATAGACGAAACATGAGCGAATGAAAAAAAGTAATGAGTCTCCAACACGAAGAATATTAGAGGCCATGCAGAAGGTCGCGCAAAATATATCGAGCTCATTGATACTATTAGAAAATTCTATTGGATTTTCGCTAGTACATGTATTACTAAGCACGAAACCAGAACAAAAATCTTTCAGATCGGAATTGGAACCAGGATCAAAATGATTGGTCCCAACCATCACTAGCCTAGACGAATTCTCATTCTCATTGACCTCACTCATAGTAAATACAAATAATGAACTGATGAAGTCAATATATATTATGATCATCGTTTTACATGCCATTCGATTGGTAATAATCCACTCTCTAGTAGAAAAATCTTTTCACTTTTTTTCATTTTGACAATTATTGGAAACAAAAAAAAGAACAGAGCATTTCATTGTAAATCGAGAATGAGATTTACAATTTATTTCGACAGTTATCTTTACTTCATAATCTTATTCAATAAATGACAAAAAAAAAGAATTTTCTTATATTGTTTATCACTCAATATTTTTGTTTTGCAAATCGAACATTATTTAATTTTTTATAAAAATCATGTTCAATCATTGAAAAATCTTTGTTTTCTTGTTTCATATTAATACGTATATCTAAATATTGTGCCATACAATATGGTGTTAAACGATCATGTTGAAAAAAAATTTTATTTGCAAAAAAATGAGGACTTGTTGCTAAATGCCATAAATCTTGATAATTAAAAACACATATACCACGAACATAACTACCATGACATAAATGATATTCTGGTCGATCATTCCAAATTTTATAACGTGTCATAAATGTTATTTGACTTAAATCATGATCATATGGATAAAAACCTGGTGTTTCTTTCCAACGATTAATCATTGAATAATAATGTTCATCAGGTACAAATGTTCCATTTAAAAAATAATATAAATCCATAACACGTGAATTTTTATGTATATATTCAAGAGTTGAACGTGATAATAAAACATGAAATTCACCTTTATAAAATGGTAATGATAATGTTGATGGTAATGTTCGATTAGATAAAATTTGTTTTTGTCGTAAATTCGAACGATATGGTAATGATGTAATATCATTTTGATTATTATACAATTTTAATATTTCTACTAATTCAAAATTTGTTTTTAATGGTAAATCTGTATTAGCTAAATTAAAATAATATTTCCATGTTAATGATTTTTTAAGAAGTACTTTTTGACATATATGTTCAGCTTCTAAAACAGAAAAATCACCCCATGTTACATTAATACGTTTTTCTGATAAATATATATTTGAAACACATTTAACACGATTTTCTATAGCTTGATATAATGATAATGAAGATTTTATATCAACATGTATACAATAATAATTATATCGATGATAAATTGTTCGTAAAATAAAATCAAATTGATCAAGATTTGTATGAATAAGAATAGTAAATGCTAATGGATATGTTAATTCTGCAGATGAAATTTTTATTGAACGTTGAAATAAACTACAATCTTTTGAATAAGAAAAAAATGATGATGCTTCTTCATTTATTTGTAGAAGTTCACTTTCGGTTAATATTATATTTGGATAACGAATTAAACGACCACATAATGTTGAATTAAGGAATATATCTAATTGAGTCGGTGATATCGACAATGAACGAAAACGAAAGTTAACATACCAAAATAATAAATATATAATAATACAAATATAAACTAGACGATGATAAAAATCTAAATAAAAAAAAAAACAATAAAAATAACTATTTTATTTTTTTTTCAAAAATATTATGTATGAGTAATATTTATTCGTGTTAAAATGCCTTGAGAACTCAGTACTATCAAGTGGTGGCATGCATTTTTTATCTCGTCATAAAATGTAGTTACTGGACGAAATGACCACAACGGATTTCCCGATGGCATCAAATGAAAATTATGACCGTATGAAATATTTGTAAGACGTTCTGCTTTAATTTCTTTATCGATTTCAAGCATAGCCGCATGAGCACATCCATCACCTATATATTGTCGAAGCATGAAATCATCTCGAGTCAAATCACGAACAAAACTTTGAACTTGTTTTGATTCATAAAACCATTTCAAACGAATAATAAAGAAATTATTATAGATGCAACCAGCTTTAAGACTTCTTTTGTTGAGAAAACGTTCTAAGATAGGCTCCATCGGTGCGATCGATTCACCGTATACAGATCGATAAAGATAATCCAATTTTGCATTAAACGTATAATTAAAAATATCCATTTTAATATGATCCATAAAGTATGAATCATCATCCATTCTCATTAGATATTCATATTTTCTTCGAATGATTGCTGGATGATAAAAAACATCATATGTCCAAAATCGACACATTAAACGATATCCAATTGGTTTCTCCAATCGTGATCCAGGATCTACTTTAACTTTTGTTTCAAAGTTAAGAAGTTCAAATGAAATTTGTAGTTGTTTCTTGGTTCGAAGTACACAAGATAATATTTGTTTACGCATGATCGAAGTAAAATTTTCATCATGAAATATAATAAATGGATATAGATACCCATTATTAGTTGGATAAAATTGAATTATAGAATGTATCATATTAATTGTGAGAAAGATAGATCGATTTGTACTACGAATAAGTGTAACAATAACACCTCGTGTTGGTGTTGCTTGATTCTCTCGTATAAATAAGTTAGTGTATCCAAAAGTAGCGACATAGATCAAAACAACAACAATCACAATCAATTTTCTTCGTCTTCTTAAATATTTCAGAGCTCGAATAGCATTTTTCAAATATAATTTTAATGCATTATAAGCTAACAAATTTTATTTAGTTTTGTTAAATTTTCAAAATAATCAAGAATTTATTGATTTACTTACATGCTTGAAAATTGCCTCTTCGATATTTATTGAACAGCCACATTTTACGAATAAATGAAAGTGCACTTTCGATTATGTTCTGCTTGATTGACTTTACCTTCGTTCCTACTATCCTTGCACAATCAGAATAGAAATATGATTGACATAAGATAAAAGTATATATCATTGTTCGTTTCGACAGAAACAAAATAGGTGTTTTACATTGATTATAAAACAAATAACTAAGGTCATCATTGTATTTCAAATCTTAAGACATACAAACTTTCAATTTATTATGACCTTAAAGTTTGTCAACTATTCATTATTAACACATATATATATATAAAGAATATCCTAAAAGTCATGAACACATTATAAAGAGCTGTTTCAGTTTTAAAAACCGAAGGAATTTTCCGATATTTCTGAAACTATTCATGCCATAAAAGTCATCGTGATTTTGATGATTTCGAAAAAATTTGCGTTGAAATCATAATTAATCGTAGTTCAGCAAAAGTCAGCGATTAAATCACATTTTATTGGTATTTATGGTACAAGCAACGATTTTTCGATAATTGGTGATACATCAGAGCAATATATCGAACTAAATTGCTGATTTCAATAATTCATCGCAAATAATCAATTAATTAAAGAAATATTCTAAGATTTGTAAAAGTGATGATCATATATTATTTATATACATAGATTTTTATTATAATCATATAGATTTGAAATCAAAAGAAAGATTTTGTTTTAGTATGAATATCACTACTGTAACATAAATAAGATTTAATAGTTTGACAAAACCATTAACTTAGACTTCACATTCACACTTATTTGTTTTAAGAGTTTGTTTCATTAAAATATAATTTTTAAATGAATTCTTCTATCTCGGATTAATGTAAAATTGAAAAATTTCATTTGCTTCTATATGATAACATCTTCTATCGTCATCATCAGATATAGTTCTGCTTAACGCTTAGGATTTGTATTCCTGTTCTCTCTTTTAAATTTTTAAATTATGAACGAAAACAAATACTGAAACTATGCTTCGCTAGAAAACCTCAATCGAGAAAATCCATTTGTATATAGGAACATTTTCTTTCGTTTGGTTTTCTTCGAGTATGCTGTCATTTAACTATGAAGAATTGTAGACCATATTAGTATTTTTGTTTTTCATTACATGTTCTGTACATGTAGAATAATGTGCGCACTGCTTTTTGTAACTTAAAAATATTTGTCAATTTATATCAATCATAAAAACTTCTGAATATGATAATCATAATAGAAATTAAGTTAATGTACACAAAATTGCAAAAATTATTAATATAATGAACGGTAAAATTGAATATAAAACATTTATTCATCGCAAAAGTAGTCGGAATAATCGAAAAAAAAACCGACGAATTATCGAGTTTCACCTCACGATTTTCGTATTGATTATGTTGTGAACAAGATTAGCATTTCAATGTTGACTAGAAAGAAAGAAATTTTTTGTTTTTGATTAACAGGAAAAAGTAAAGAAAGATAAAAAATTAAAGTTGCATCAATTTTTTTTTTAATTTCACAAAATTTATTAAGAAATATTATATGAGGGTGCTGATCAATAACAAGCGATAGGTTAACGGTTTTTGTGGATTCTAGCCCAAAAAAAGCTGAGCTTCTATACCTGATAAAAATTCTAACTTTGAACCCGCACTGTGCTCAGTAAGTCTAGATGCCGAGTTTTATTTTCGTCAATATCTGGTGTCCTCTGTGTACATGAACAAGTGAAGAATCAAGTTTTCAACGATTTATGAGGTGCTCTCAGAAACAAAGTCAATGTACAATTATTTTTTTTGTTATTCACTTTCCCATCACATGATGTTCAATGCATTAAAAATTTTCGTTTCATTGAAAAGAGCATTATGTTAACAAAAAAGAAAATTGAATAGTTAATTGGTCAACAAAATTTGTCATTAAAAATAGTTAAACAAACAATAACATAAAAGTCTTAAGTTATATGAAATAGTTTTAGTCCTATATATGTAAGCAAAGTCAAACAGGAGTATATTTTATGTAATCAATGTAGCGAGGTACGAGCCCATGACGTAGGTGTGAGGGAAGCAGAGACCTCATCCTCACTCACATTCGCATTCTAAACCAAGCAACAATACACTATACATAATTCACGCTCACGCTCACACCCACTCACACTCTTAATTATCAAGATTTTACCTTTTCATGTTCGTCAAAAAAAAAAAATATTCAATGTCACTCAGTCAAAATTATATTTTCAATCTCAACTTAGCAAATTGTAAGTTTGACTTAACTTCAATATTAACCACAAAATATATATCAATCAAATATATATCTTCACGTACGTCCCATTGGTGGATTAAAGAAGAAGTAAGAAACTCTTTTTAAAAGTTTGAATTTCTATGAAGTCTTCATGCCGACAAAACTCGTATAGATTAGAAACCAAAATTGATTGTGTCACTTAAGTTTTATGCCTTGGATGTATATTACCAAACAAACATGTATTCAATCAAATTTAAGATTGTACGTTTTTCTAAAATTTTATCTCCTACTCGCATAGAAACCACGAGGAAAAATTAGCCCTGCATTTCATGATATCTGCACTAAAATTGTTTCTGAGACTACATTAAACGTTTTAATCCTGCTATTTATAAACACAAGAAAAATTTTGAACTTTAGTAATACATTCAGTTCTGATTTCAAATATGAAAGCTTTAACCTGGTAAAGATCTTCTAGAAATCAATACTTTTAACACAATTTTATGTACCTCCTTCGATGCACGAATGAGACCGTACTAGAAAACCTATCTGTAATTGATGTATACATAAGAGATGACCAACGCGATATTTCAACGTTAACTGTCAATTAAAATAAAATATCTTGTGCAATTTGTAATGCCCATGCTAATGTTATATTGAACAATAAATTGACTGAATATCATGTGAAAAAAATGTCTTTTGTCACCTTGTTATTGAAAATTTCTGGGATAGGCCAAAAAATACTCTTTATCTGAAGCACTTTATGTCTTATTGAATTATATATCATACAGAAAATTTCAACTTAGAACAGGTGCTTCAATTTACAAATAAAAGTGTTTGGATAATTCTGAAGCGATGAAAAAAGGCATGTCATGATTATATTGTAAAGAAAAATTAATAAGATGGATACGGTGATTTGACGAGGAAAGTTCTCCAAGTGAGCAACCACTTTTTCGTAGTAGCATACATGATTGTATGCAGTTCACTGCGTGGATTCAGAACATCAGGATCTTAGTGACACTTAGACCTTTCCAGATTCTTATCATTATTCTGAATTCCCTTCTGATAAGGATGTTCCTTATCAAATTCAACCTTTTAATCAGTCTACCATGCACCATCGCACAAAATACTCACAGAAATACTTTTTATGAACACTTAAACTTTAAGTATCCTTTTTTGAATTAATATTTTTTCACATAATGAAAGGATAAAGCAATAATTTTATCTTATGTATTGCATTACATAATCTTGCTCAATTTACCGCTTGTTTTGAAAATATGCCTTTACAGTGGGTAATGTTTTATATTTTGAGAAACCAACATACGTATTTTCTACATCTTCTATTGTTGTATACTTCGGTGCATATACTATAGTTATGATTAATTTGTGAATATATGATGATAAAATGAAAAGAAATATCAGATAACTGTTTGTAGTCAATCTACGAATAATTGCTTCGCTGTTTCATAGGTTAGTATTTGAAACTTAAGGTTAAAGAGTCTATAAAAAGTATTCATGTGGATATTTTGTCTAGCGGCACATGGTAGACTGATTAAAAATTTGAATGTGATGAGAAACACCCTTATCAGAAGAGGGTTCAGAGTAATGATACACAATCTAGAAAGGCCTAAGAGATGCTAGGACCCTAATATTCTAAATCAGCGCAGTGAACTTCATACAGTCATGTATGTTTCTATGAAAAAGCGATTGACCACTTGGGGAAGTTTCCTGGTAAGTCAAGTGAAAAAGCGTGCTTTTTTGAAGTCCCGACGCTTGAAGTTCACTACTCCAACAGAAAATGGTAGAACTTACGTTTTTCATGGCTTTGCAGAGTATACCCTGGAATATAGGATAGATAAAATTGGAGTGGAAAATGTAATGAAGCTTCCCTGATCGGGAAGTTGGTTTTCGGAAGAACCTAATAGAAGTCTCTTAGGAGTATCTCTCAAATTTTTTATTTTGGCATAGATTGTTGTCCTTCTATGTCCACTGTCGAGTGGTGAAAACTATAGATTTCTATCTGATTGTGTTACGGAGCTACTCAACTTCTTCTGATACATAGTTTTTCGGGTGTAGAGATTTATTTTCGTGGTTATAAGAGAAACACGATAGTTAGACTGATTACATAGTATAAAGGTCATGTATTATCATAAAATTTTTTTTTATAATACCCTTGAAAAATTCATCAATTACTTCGAAATCGCATGAAATTTATGAGAAGCAATTGATAAAAAAAGGAAACAAATTTTTTCTGTCTGATCGATCCGTTTTATTGACAAACATCCAAAACTTGTTTCGGGTTTGAACCAGAATCACGCTTGATACTTTTTTCTAGCCATAAGACGAAACGGGAAAACCTTCGAAGTTAAATGTCCTTAGATAGGCCCTAAGAAAATTGGTCTGAAAAATCTGGTATATACAATTCGATGTAGTTTCATCTCGTTTTTTAAACACTGAAAAACGATGATCTCTATTTGGTTCCTATCAAAAATGATTTCAAGAATACTCATCCTACGTCTATTTTGAAATGAATAGTAGTAGATTACTAGTTAGTATAAGTCATTTGATTTTTTTGATTTTTATTCACTCTTATCCTCAAAATAATTTTCACTCTCTTTGGCCATTTCTAGTTCTTGAAGAGGATATAACTAATCTCCATGAAATTTTTACCATAGATAGAGTACCGAAAACAAGGTGACATATGTTCAAAGAAAGATATTGTAAACAAGATTTTTCAGTTTTTTTTTCGAAGAAGTCTTTTTTCTATATGGTTGCATCTGACCACATTTCAGCACCCATTAATTTGTGCTGTTGGATTGAAAATTGTTATTGAGGTCTCTTAGACTATATTTCAGACGAATTTTTGAACTTTTCAAAAATTTTACTGTCTTTTTTTCTATGAAAGAAATATGTAAAAGCTCGGCTTTCAAAGTCCGATTATTAGCGATCAGAACTCTATAAATTCTGTTAGGAAGATTAGAAATGAAAACGATTGGTTTTAGTTCTAAAAAATATTTCCAAATATCTTAGAGAGAAATTCCAGCGCATTGCTGGAACAATTCGTCGCATGATACATTAGTCTTAATGTATCCTGAAGAAGCATTGACAATGGATCGGTGAGAGTGCATAAAATATCCTTATTTTCACCGACACTTGTGAGGAATTGTTTCGCCAACTTCCAGTCCCATCGAACAAGGTTGACGATTGAGTAAATGCGTGCCCATACTAGATATAGACAAGACGGTTCCAGTCACGCCGGGATCAGGACCAACACTTTTTCATTGGNTGAACTTCTGGAGCAGTTACAACCTAATGAGTCATAATCGGATCACCACTATCTAGATTGATTGTAAAGACTATTGAAAAAGAGAAAACTCATGTGATGTGTATATTTGTCTATTTTTGAGAAGTAAAATCGACTTGTTCGAGATATATTAGTTTCTTGCTTGAACGGAAATTTATTGGTTGTGCCCATCTCTTTTCATTTTACCTAATATTTTCTTATTTCTGATGAACTTTTGTCGGAAGACCATTTCTCTTGAGAAAGGATGGGGGGGGGGGGAGGCGCTCATATTTTGACCGTTTTGCAGCCAACGAAAGCTGTACTAGAATTAATTTAACTTTTGACTTGACTTGACTTGACTTGAATTGTGACTTGACTTGAAATTTTTGAAAAATGACTTGACTTGGCTTGAGGTGAAATATCGCTGACTTGCCCATCTCTGCTGTTGTATGTGCGTATGTATACAATACCACTAGGATGATTAACGTATGCGCATCAGTGACTGGATGAAAGCATTTTTCCTTGCTTCAAGTTCAGTTCAGTTTGAATTTACTTTTGAAAAATTAATTTGGGTTCGGCTCGATTAGATTCAAGTAACCCTAGTTCCATCAAATCAGAAATACACAATAAGTCGAAATCTGTTTCTCCTGGTTCTTTTTAGTTTAAATCGTTTAAGAGAAACACAAGTAACAACAAACTTGAACTAAACGATATTGAAAAGTGGCTATTTTTTTAATCTATATTTGCAATGTGTTAAATAGTGGTAGTTGTTTTTTCTTTTTTGAATAAAAATTTACAACAAGAAAGCTCGTTTTTTCATTGAGTGTTATAGCGACGGAATGTTTTTGCAAAAATTTCGCCGCTCGAGAAAATTTTTTAGTTTACTGGCAGATTCTACACATCTGGAGTAAAGATGTTGTTAAGATCTTTCATAGTTTGTGACGTGCCAATGACACTTGTGAGAAAGGTATCAGAGTAGACAACCAACTGATCAAATCTTTTTAGCTTGAATTCTAATTTGTTCAGTAACATAATATGCAATAAAGTTGAATAACATCTCTAAAAAAGCTTTGTTAAAAACCGTTTATGAGTGTTTATATTTTACAAAAATAAAACGAAATACGTCTGCGAAATTATCTCTGCATTTATCTTTATTTATTACGGATACAAGGCACATTGTTTTATTATTATATTGTTACTTATTTTTCGATTTAGTCGATAGCAACAGATTGATTTGTCTCATAGATATAAACGTCGACCTATTTTTCGGTTGATTTACATACCCTGATAAAACTCTTTAGCAAGATTCAAACACCTCGAAGTTTGCTTCATTCATTATTGAAGTAACAAGATCTACTATTACGATGCGAACTCTTTTGAGAATTTTTCATGAAAGTTGTAGACTATGTATCATAATTATGATCTTTCTAATCATTTGAATGGATACTTACTCAAAAGTATGTGACGAGATCCTCGACTAGAATCAAAATCTGTCGTACTGTCATTGAGATAATCATGCTAAAACTGCAGTTAATATGAGTTTAGAAATCAAGAGACGAATAGAAAAAAGGTTACAAGAACTATTAGTAGCACTAAACAGAAGCTAGAAACAGTGAATGAAAAAAAAACACAGTTCAAGATAGGCGTTTCAACATCAACAAGTCTGTAAGAGAATTTTTAAAGTGTCAGTACCATTATTCGCGACTGCAAAATCCAGTTTTCCGTCATTATTAAAATCAGCAACAAAAACTGAGAATGGAAAAGATCCATAACTCATCGAAAAAATTTTTATATCGGCGAAAAAGCCATTACCATATCCAAGAAATACGCCTATGTTGTTGGTGCCATAATTAGCGACAATAATGTCAAGGAAGGTATCACTGTTGAAATCTCCAACAGCAACCGCGATCGGATCAGATTTGGAACCAGTCATAAACGTGTTTTGGCCTAAAAAAGAGCCATTACCCCATCCTAGAAACACACCAACATTGTCATTGCCATGATTAGCAACGACAATATCAAGTATGGTATCCTTGTTGAAATCGCCAACTGCAACAGAGATTGGAGTAGAGCCAGTTGAAAATGCTGTTTGGTTTGTGAAAGAATAATTGCCATGTCCCAGAAAAATACCAATGTTGTTAGTACCAGAATTCGCGACCGCAATGTCTATTTGATTGTCATTGTTAAAATCTCCAATGACGAACGACTTTGGTCGAGATCCACTACCAGTTCTGAGCGTCATTTGTTTTTCAAAAGCTAGATTGTGACGTCTGAGAAGTACACTTACAGTCAAACTTCCAGAATTAGCAACAACGATGTCCAATCGAGTATCGCTGTTAAAATCGCCAACAGCTACAGATTTTGGATACAAGCCAGTTGAGTATGTTGTTTGGTTTTCAAAAGAGCCATTACCAAATCCGAGAAATATACTTATGGTGTGCCTATTCGAACTAGCAACGACTATATCCAATCGGGTGTCATTGTTAAAATCACCAACAACGACGGAGTTTGGGGAAGAGTCAGTTGAGTATGTTGTAGGATTTGAAAAGGAGCCATTCCCATATCCAAAAAGTACACTTATAGTGCCGCTGCCTCGATTAGCAACGACGATATCCAGTAGGGTGTCGTTGTTGAAATCACCAACAGCTACTGATCGTGGGGAACGGCCAGTTGAATATGTCATTTGATATGCAAAAGAACCATTACCATATCCGACAAGTAAACTCACAGTGCGGCAGTTCCCATTAGCAACGACGATATCCAAATAAGTGTCGTTGTTAAAATCGCCAACAGTTACAAATTGTGGACGAGAACCAGTAGAATATGCCGTCTGGTTTGCGAAAGAACCGTTACCATATCCGAGAAGTATACTAACACTGTCGCTGTGTCCATTAGCAACGACGATATCCAGTTGGGCATCGTTATTAAAATCGCCAACAGCTACAGATCGTGGAGAAGACTGAGTTGAATGTGTCGTCCGTTTGAAAAAGAACCATTACCATATCCTAGACGTATACTAACACTGTCGCTGTCACCATTAGCAATGACAATATCCAGTAGTGTATCGTTGTTAAAATCGCCAACAGCTACAGATTGTGGATTAGGACGAGTTGAATATGTCTTTTGATATGCAAAAGAACCATTGCCATATCCAAAAAGGATACTAGTAGAGCCGCTGTTCCCATTAGCAACAACGATATCCAGCCGTCCGTCGTTGTTAAAATCACCAACAGCTACAGATCGTGGATCAGAGCCAGTTGAGTATGTCGTTTGTTTTTCAAAAGATCCGATGTCATATGCAACAAGCACATCTAGATTATCAATATTATCATATGCCACAAGAATTTCCGAACGTCCATCATTGTTGAGATCACCAGTAGCAATGAACACTGGCGCGGACTCAAAACCATTGCTATAAGTATCCTGACTTTCAAATGTTCCGTTCCCGTTTCCCAGAAATAAACCAACGTTTTTAGTACCATAGTTGGCTACTGCGATATCCATGTGATCATCTCTATTGAAATCACTAATGACAACCGAGTAAGGATGAGAATTAAATCCCGTTGAGAGCTTTATTTGGTTTTCAAAAGTGCCATTCCCATGTCCAAGAATGACACCTATATTATTCGTACCATAATTAGCAACGACAAGATCCAGTAGGCCATCGTTATTGAAATCAAAAACGGCAACACTTCGTAAACGAGAACCATCACCAGATGCAAATGTGATTTCATTTGCTAGAGGTCCTCTGTCGTAACCAAGGAGAAAATCAACAGTGTTGTTTTCAGAATTAACAACGACGATATCCAGTCGGGTGTCATTGTTAAAATCGCCAACAGCTACAGAATGTGGGGAAGAGCCAGTTAAATATGTCGTTTGATCTAAAAAAGAGTCATTGCCAAGTCCGAGAAGTACACTTACAGTGCTGTCATAATAATTAGTAACGACGATATCCAATCGGGTATCGTTGTTAAAATCACCAACAGCTACAGACTGTGGGGAAGGACCAGTTGAGTGCGTCAAATGATTTGCAAACGAACCATTACCAAATCCGAGAAATACACTTACAGTGTCGTCATCCATGTTAGCAACGACGATATCCAATCGAGTGTCGTTATTAAAATCTCCAACAGCTATAGAGGATGGACTAGCGCCAGTTAGGTATGGAATATCATATTCAAAAGAGCCATTGCCATAGCCGAAAAGTAAAATTAGGGTGTTGTCAGCCAAATTAGTAACAGCGATATCCAGTCGAGTGTCGTTGTTAAAATCACCAACAGCTACAGAGCTTGGATAAGAGCCAGTTGGATATGTTATCGGGTTTGTAAAAGAACCATCGCCATATCCGAGAAATGCACTTACAACGTTGGTATACGCACTAACAACGATGATATCCAGTCGGGCGTCGTTGTTAAAATCACCAACAGCTATACAGGATGGCCAATAGTTAGTTGAATGTGTTATCTGCTTTGCAAAAGAACCATTGCCATAGCCGAGAAATATACCTACACTGTTCTCAATCATATTAGCAACGACAATATCCAATCGAATGTCGTTGTTAAAATCGCCAATAGCTACAAAGACTGGAAAAAAGCCCGTTGAATATGTCATTTGTGTTGTAAAAGAGCCATTACCATATCCCAGAAATACACTGATAGTGTCGTTCAGTATATTAACAACGACGATATCTAATCGGGTGTCATTATTTAAATCGCCAATAGCTACAGAGATTGGATAGCTGCCTGTTGGATATGCCGTTTGTTTTTCAAAAGAGAAATCGTCATAACCAAGTAGAATACCTATGCTGCTGGTGTCATTATTGATAAGAACGATATCTAAATGATTGTCTGTGTTGAAGTCGCCTACATCAATGGAGATAGAAGAAAAAGATCCAGTTGAATACGGTATTGCACTTCCAAAAGAACCGTTTCCATATCCGTAAAATACAGCTATATTGTTAGCGCCATTATTGGTGACGACTATATCCTTTCGACCGTCACTATTGAAATCATCAATCCGAATAGAATATGGAGAAGAATCTCCGAGCGAATATGTCGTTGGCGTCATAAAAGTTCCATCACTGTTGCCCAGGAGTACACCTACACTGTTATTTCCATGATTGGTGACAACGATATCTAGCATAGTATCCTCGTTTAAATGACCAATAGCAATCGAGTATGGATGGGAATTAGGACCAGTTGAAATCATGATTTGATTTGCGAAAGTACCGTTATCAGTTCCAAGCAGTATACCTACAGTGTTTGTACCATAATTTGCGGTGGCAAGATCTATCTTTTTATCATTGTTAAAATCTCCAGTGACAACCGCAAATGGAAAAGAATCATAGCCCGTAAAGTACGTGCTTGGTTCTGAAAAGTTCCCATTTCCATATCCATAGAATACACTTACGCTGTGTGTGCCATAGTTAGCAGTGACAATATCTAATGCAGTATCTTTGTTGAGATCTTTTATGGTGATCCAAATGGGACGAGATAAAGCAGTCGACAAAGTTGTTTGACTCACAAAAGACCCATTTTGGAGTCCAAGAAATATACCAACGCTGTTTGTACCGAAATTCGCGACGGCAATATCCAATTGACCATCGTTGTTGAAATCATCGACAGCGAGCATGTACGGAGCAGAGCCCGAACCGGTTGAATACTTGACTGGGCTTGCGACAGTGCCATCGCCATATCCAAAATGTATAGTTATGTTGTCAGCAGCATAGTTAGCAACAGCAATATCTAGCAAATTATCTTTGTTGAAGTCGCCAACGGCGACAGATCGGGGACCATAATTATATTCAATTGGATTTGGATTCATTGGTTTGAACTTCATTTCACATTTTGGAACTAACCAACACAAGAACACAGAAATAAAGACTGATCAACTACTTTGGTTCAACTATCTCTAGTGAATTGTATCAGATTCTCAAAAGCAATAATGAGCTTTTACTGGGAACGCTCGGATTATTGAAATCAGATTTGAATGGGTACAAGTACTTTTCAATAAAAGCTCATTGAGTCTCATGAAATTCATCGCGCAGATCACTTGTCGTGCATTTTCTTTCATTTACTAGAGAGCTCGTTCGAGAAACGCATAGAGACGAAGAAAGAACAGATACAATAACTAAAATGATATTAAATAAGGATCATGAATTGGTCCTAACTACATGGTCAAAACCACTCTCATCTCTACTTTACAAGTTCTTCTGTGGTACATCATCAATCAGAAATATAATGGCAGGTGTTGTAAAAGTTCTTGGACAAATGTCGATTCATTTTTCATTGGCTAAAGCATAATGCAGAAAAAGAAAAATAGCTATTCAGAATCTACGTTAATAACGTTTTCTAGCATTATGTTCAAAAAAGTCCTATCATGTTTTGTCTTTGAGTAACGAGCACATTTTTACATAAGACTACAATGTAGGCTTTAAAAACAGTCCATAATCAATGATTACGGCAAAATAAACCAATCTTTCGGTATTTTTCGAATGTCTCTTATCCGTTTCGTTATATTTTGTTGCTATTTTTTTTCATTGAATTCCTGGTTTAATTCTCTACGAACCTTATATAAAATAGTATGATATTGCTGAAAGATCGGTTCTCTATGCCACAGTCATTACGAGTTGTCTTTTATACAGGATACATTTGAGTGTTTTTTAAAGATGTGCTCGTTACTCAAAGACAAGATATGATAGAACTTTTTTGAATGTACAACTAAAAAGGGCTTTCAGCGTAGGTTCTGAATAGCTATTTTTTATTTGTCCGAACTATGCTTTAGTCAATGAAAAATGAAGCGACATTTGTTGAAGAACTTTTGCAACACTCGTTATGACGACGAAAGTTTCAAACCATTTCTAAATCAAAAGATTACCACTGTCTTTGTATTGCAACAATCCTTTAATTAACTGTGACTTGTGATTCCCTTTCGTCTAATCGTACTGTATTGTTATAGCATAGCCTCCATAGTGGTATGATGATCTCTGCTTTCGAAACGGCGAGATGACTCCTAGATTCTCATTTCTTATCCTCGAATTTACTTGCAGCTAGATGTAGATAATTGCAAATATATAATTATTCGAATACTTCGAAAGCTTAAGCAAATAGTACATGTGTTCTTCGTTAAGTGATCTATTCTCAAAGATTATTTGTGTATCGAAACACAGAGAATTCATTATCTTAAAAGAGAATCACAAGGTTTTGCTGAAAGCTTTAGGACATTCTAACAACTATGAGACATATAGAAGCAAAATATCAGGTTGAAATATGGTCATTCCACTTATTAGTGTGTGATGGTTTATAGGGAATATTACTATAATAGGTATAACTCAAGACAAAAAACACTTAGATGAGAAAGTCTCACTAACTGATATTCCCTGTTGAAGCCCATATTTTGCTTATTGACTGGGCTCACAGAACAGAGAAAAACTCAAAATATATTCACCCTAATCCTGTTCTTTCCGGAAGAACGAGTATAACAAGTTTCTTTGAAAAGAATATTATAGGGTTTTATATAAATTTGTTTTTCTTATTTCAATAAAGGAACGTTTAAATGAGCTGATTTACCACAAACTCATCCTACGCATTGTTATTTGTAGTATAAAAGCACACGATTGCTAAGTAGGATGTAGTTGTAGACGTATATGTGTGAATCAGAAGAGAAACATCTACACCCTCACTTCCAAAACACATCCACCAAGATGACTGCTTGTGGATCCTAATGATAAGAGATCTTTTGAATCTTGATTATCGAATTCATCATTATGATCCAATCTAGTTTTTCATTTCAAATATATACAATGTACTTTTCAAAATGGAACTGAAACATCCATATCAATTTAATGCAATTTGTTATTCATTAGAAGTGATTGAAAATGATGAATCACAGTATAATTCATCTGATGTCAGGTTCAATAAGGCTGTTAAGGTGTTGTGAGAATTGCTCATTTTGATTGTCGAGACAAGTGAACAATGATTAAATAGAAAAATGCTCACTATTTTTTTTACTTTGTAACGATATGTAACACTCCCAGTTGATTGGATTTCATACATGATATTTGACCTTGTCGTGTCGTTTATTCGTATATTATACATTGTCCTTACCTTTCTATTCTTATACTTCTATCCTTACTCTATTGTTCTCCTATATCTGCTCTCTCTTTGGCCTCATCTCCTCTCTTTTCATCCTCTCTTATTCTACTTGCGTATATAAGCGTGTGCTTTTTATGTAAACGATACGATTATATGATATGAAGGAATAGAATAAAGTGTAAACCCATCAGCACTAGCATCCCTTCTATCAGAAATCATCACACAGTAGTCGACCACTAACGAGTTATTAGTAAGAAAAAGAGTACTATCTTATCATATTTATAGAATGTATTATTGTTTCAAATAGTGGGAAAAGAAGGAATTCACTGGACTTTAATAAAGAGATGAGAACTCACTATAGAATATAAGAGAGAACATAGATAACCGATGCAGGTAGAAAGAGAAAGAAAAAGGATGTACCTGAGCATACTAGGAAAGAGTACGTATATGTATTCAGGCATGATAGCAGAACAAAAGAAGATATAGACGAATACATATGTGCCAATGTTACAAGAATGATTGAAAGAAAGAGATGATGCAAAAATGATGACTAGACATAACATCCTTTTTATTACAGATCTCTATTTATAATGATCTGCTTGTTCTCATCTTCAGGCAACACATAGTCAGAAAAAGTAAATCAGATATGTCTCATGCAAAAGAAATGTTTACTTCCATCATATACTATGAGAAAATTACTTATATTTTCTCTTACTGTTTCGCATATCTATTATGTCGAAAAAAACATACATGTGTAATAGAGAAAAACAAATCTTGGATAAGCTGCTACTGCTGTTCAGAGGTATTAAAAAAAATACTACAAAAAATAATAGAAGAGCTTAATCAAGGAATTTCTCTTCTTCATCCGTCGAACAGTGAATACGATAAAAGTTTATCCTTCTGCAATAAGAAAGAGCACAGTGTAAGATCAGTCCATAAAAAATCAGCTCGTGAACAATGTTATTTCATTGAGATATGAAAAACAATTGATAGAAAATACAATAATCTTCCTTTTTAGAGAATTTTGTTATGATTGTTTCTTCGGAACAAAGCAGCGATTGGATAAGTCCTGTTGAAATTTTTCTCTACTCTATGAATCCTACTAATGAGCAAACTATGCGCTCAAACAGAAGGTAACAATTGATGACGTTTTCTTGTAAGAAATCGAGTCTTTCTCATCATTTTCTAGTCTCATTAGATCCGACTTGGGGACAATGTTTTAGCTCTATCGATGACGATCGCCTTAGTTGGTTCGCTCGCCAGTGCTAAGTTGAAATTGAAAAGTGAAGCAATTGTAATGCTTATGATTCTGTTCTCAATCAGTAATTTGCTTCCAGTGTATCTATATAGAAGATTATCACAACTCGATGCTTTTCAGCCAAAAATCCATAATACTGGTAAAAGACAATCGATCTAATTGTGGGCTTTTATCCCATTGAATACGAAGAATGTAAAACAAGGACATACTTGGTGGTTTTTGTGCAGTAAAGCAAACTATCAATATACCGGTGACCATAGCTATACTTGTGAACAGAGGCAATACAAAAAAAGGTGTGGTCATTACATGTTGTATTGAATAGAACAAATGTTTTCTAGGAAAGAGCAACAACGATCATATTTGACATTAAAAGAAAAAGTCATACGTAGTCTGTTGATTCATGTAAGTTTTCATTGGATCAATGGCACTATTCTGAACGTCTCGCGTATTTTGTGCATTTAAAGTTGATTCTAGCGTCTTGTTTAAATCGATGAAAACACTCGTCGTAGGAAACGAGCAATTGATTGGTTTAGTGTTATCGTCCATAGGAGCTGTTTTAATCTATGAAGAGATAGGTAGTTAAGAAAGAACACATGTTCAATATTAGCATACAAGTATATCTTTAAAAATCGAGAGTTTCTAAAGAAAAGTGTTGATGCAGTAGTTTTGTCTAAACTGCTCAGTTGAAATAAAAACGTGCGACTGTTTTGAGCAATTTCAACGCTTTTCCAAATAATAACTATTAAAATGCTTTTAATAAGTTGAACTGACTGCACAGAATTTTTCCCAATGAACTTAAATCTCATCAAAACACTTGCCTGAATAATGTAATATATTAAAAGAATTATCAAAACTGCTGTTTAGAATGCTTATTTGGCTAGTTGACACTTATTTAATATTTGTTGTTCTCTGCCAAAATTAATATATTGTTTTCAACAGTTTTGCCTGGACACCTCTAGTTTTAAGATCTTAAACGTGTTTTCTATGTCCATTTTTTCCAACAACCAAAATAGTTTAACTTCAGATTCTTCGAGTCTTGGTCAAGGTCCCAAGATCATCATTTTTAGAATTGTGGCCTGAGCAAGTAAAAATTTCGTTAGATTTCAATATACCGAATGGACGTTGAGGTATTTCGTCCTATTTTCGACATCTATAAAAACAAAGTTATCGAAAGACATTGTGTCGCGAATTCATCTTTTTTCTTCGGTGAGAAATTTTAAATTTTATTTAGGTTTCTTAAAGCATAATGTGAATATTATTGATGCAAATGAACTCAAGTTTTGTCTAAGTTTTCACATATTTGGACGAGATATATTTGCTCGAGATCAGAAAATTATGAACTGATAATATTTCGACAAACTATATCTCGCTGAGATGAAATGATTTAAGAGGATTTGTATTTCTCCACTTTTCTTCTCGAGTTACAATTATTTTAAATAATCTGTTCGGGGACATTAAAGTGGGCAATAATA